CTCGTCCTGAGAGGCTGGCAGGTTGTAACTCTTATCGTGGGGTAAAGTGTGCTAGGCTGTTTCCACACATTAGAGGGAGGGAAGGAGACCTCGGAACAGTGACAGCCCTGCATCTGGCCCGGCGATCCTCTGCACCAGGCTCCAAAGCCCAGGCTCACTCCTGTGCACTCCACTGGTTCCTGTTACATCCACGCCCTCTGTTGAACACAGTGCCCCGTGTGCAGAGACCACAGCCTGCCTGGGAACGCTGGTGTACAGGGGCAGCCACTGTCTAGGCAGGGCCCAGAGGCCACTGTCACATGGTGGAAGTGGCACACCTGCGTGGGCCAGGCAACTGTGAGCCCGTCCTCACAGGAGGGCAGGCAGCAAGTCCCAAGTCTCTGGGATTGGAGGTCTGGCCCAGGAATATTTTCTGGGCGTAAGGAGGCGGGAATGTCCTGAGCACCTCCAGGGAGTGGAAGCCCAGTGGGGCCTCACGGCGAAAGGAGGTCAGGAGGCAGAAATGGAGCAAGTAGTGGTTTTATTGTTGCCTCTTTGATGGTCTTGGCTGTGAGCCTGCTGTCTGTAACTCATCGATGAAACTATCTGATTCCCCAAAGATAGACTATAGGGTTACTGTTCCAAAAAGAATTAGTGGCGCATTTCTTCAAGAAGCTGCGTCCTAATACATTTGCAGCATGATTTGCCTTGTAAATGTAGATCCCGCGCAGCCCTTTGGGAGCACATGGGTACCTCGGCTGGCAGACTTGCTTCACCTGCACGCTTGGAAGGGAGGCCAGGGCTGTTTTGTCTACTGAGGGAAGACGATTTGCTTAGGGGCTGAGGAGAAGGCTGAGATGAGGCGTTAATGAGCGTCATTTGCTCATGCAGCAAGTGGTCAGGTACCCTTTACCCCCTGATCACGAGGGAGTGGTCTTTGAACTCAGGTTCCCTCCTGGGCTTAGATTTGAAGGTAGGAGGAAGTTGTAACCAAGAATTCCTTGGCGTCACCACAGTTAGGCTCCAGGTGCATTTTCCATGGAGTTCCAGGGAGTCTCTGTCTTTTCAAAACTTTTTATTCTAGAGTAGCTTTAGACTCAGGATAAGAGAGAAGGGGTAGGAGGGGTGATGCTGCTGTCCTGGGTCCCTCTCGTTTCCCCAGTGCGGACTCCTTACATCACCACGGTGCAGTTGTCGATAAAGTGCAGTTATCAAAACCGGGAAGCTGGTGCGGTTTCAATACTGTTCACTAAACCCCAGTCTGATTCCCCCAGCTTCTCTGCTGGCTCCATCTTCCCCACCAGGAAGCAAATCACATGCAGCGGTTCCTTCTCCTCGCCTCCCTCCGTGTGCAGTGTGCTCTTTGGCCTTTATGACCTTGTACCTCCGAAGTGCATAGACTGCTGATGGTGTCCAGCACCCTGAGGCTGGCTCTGTGTGATGTTCTGCATGCTGGCCCTGATGGCCCCCAACGTGGTATTGTGTATTTGACAGTGTTGGCATCACGCGTCCATCTGTCATGTCCACGTGTCCTCTCGAGCGATGTTGGTCGTGTGTCACTGGATTCTCCTAGCACTTTCAACCCCAGTGCCTGGCCACTGTCTGCTGCTTGTGACGGATGGCAAGGGGCAGGTCCTGGAGAGTGGGACAGGAGAATTGGGGCCCCTCTTTTGTAAGCCCCTCTTCTCTGTGGAGCTCTGGCAGGGAGCTGCCCACACAAAGGCCACTAGCTCCCCAGTGATAGAGAAGGGCCTCGCGGGCAGGCCCGAGGCTCTGCTTGGGCGTCTCACCTCCTAGTAGTGCTCAAGCATTTGAGCTCACTCACTGTTCTGGCCGACCATCAAGGCCACGCTGACTTCTGAATATCCAGCCGGTCTCTGGCCGCCATTTGTAGTCGCAGAGCCTGTAGCCCAGGGAGTCCACTTGCAGAGCTGGGCCAGGCTGGGACTCAGGTGAACTTCGGGATCAGCATTTCTGAAATGAAAATGATGCTCCTGGAATGCTCCACATAACACAGAGGGAACAACAACAAAAACCCTACTTGAGATTTTTTAACAGAAAAAGGAGATTTGTTATTAATAATTCATGAGTTCCCATTGAACATGCACGACAGAAACAGTGCTATTCAATAGAGAATACTGTCATCTGTCACTGTTTTATTTGACATTTACACTTTTTTTTTGCCTGATACTGCAAAACTTTCTTGGATGGCATGCAAAAATTATATAAATGAAAAGAATCCCAACGTGGGGACCCTGTATCTCTTCTGCTGTGGGTTCACTCTTAGCCATGCACGTGTGTGCATGTAACTTTCCTCACATTTGTTAGCCACCAAAGCAAATCGGAGACCCTGTGGCAGGGGAAGGATGGTATGAGGGCCAAGATGGTGGTGGGTGAGAGGGAGTGGGGGAAGGGCAGGGTTCCTGAGAGAAGCACGGGGCGCGGGGTGATCATGGCTGCTGTGAGGAAAACCAGCAGAACACACATTGCTGTTCCAGAGAGACGAGATGTGAGTTTGCAAGTGACGGCACAGGGCCCCGCTAGTGGGAACAGCAGCTTCTTGAGAGGAGCAGGTTGGGGTTAGGTGCTCCTTCCAGTGTTGTGCTACTGTAAGGCTCTCGACAGTCTTTCTGCTCTGTAGGTTAGTTATTATTTATAAAAATCACAGAGCCAGCTGATACATTCATAAGCTAATTATTGAAGCAGCTGGGTACACATGGTGCAATATGTCCAAGGCTGGGAAGTATCACAGATTTCTTGGGGCCTGCTGTGGTGGGGGTGCCGATGAAGGCTGCATCCCTTAATCTGATCAGCCAAGCAAACACTTTGTGGGGAAACTAGATTAATAACCCTCTAAATACCATGAATGTGCTTCACCTTCCAAACCAGGGTCCTTTAAACATGCTATTAGCTTGTCTCTGCCAGGGATCCAAGGGAGTTCACTGCTGCCTGAGCACAGGGTCGCTCAGGCCACTTCCCTGTGCCAGAAATTAATTTGGTTTGCTTCTGTCTGCACACATGACCACACTTGTGTCTAATCCGCTCCCTAACAGCTTCAAGGTCAAGCCCTTGCTTGTCAGTGGGCAAATGCAGCACCACACTTCCCCAAGACTGACACAGAGTGCGCTGCTGGACGCGGGCCCAGGCGCTGTCCTGCATGAGCTGAGTGCACACGGCACTGAGAGGTGGAACGTGGGTGTATGCATGACACAGGAGGCTCCTCCGAGGATCACAGGATCACGGTGGAGGCCATCAGATGTCGCTGTCCCCGTCCACGCCACGCCCCGGCTTCCCACAGGTGGCCTGTGCATGCAGGTCTGGCCAGCTCAGAGTCTCGTCTGGAACAGATGCAGTGCATTGTTTTTATTTTCTGCTCCGTGATGGGTCTCCATGCTCCCACCTCCCCTGGGAGATGTGAAACATACCTGTCTGAAACATTTGAAAGAGTTCAGTTGGACACTTATTCAGATCTGTGGAAAGACAGGGAAATAGGAGCTTATTTTCCACAGATGGTTTATTTCCCATTTTAAGAACTCTTGCCTTTGTATGAAAAGCCCTTGAGGAAACACTTTGGGATCAGGAGAATTTTCAAATATAATTTATTTTCCGGTCAGGCTGAAAAAATTTATCTTCATTTCTCATACACATGGCACCTTGAAATTTAACCATTACCTCCCTCTTAATTGAGTCCAAAAAATCTATGAAAACATGAGGAAAAGCATCTCGCAGCAAATGATAAGGTGTCTTGTTTTCATCTTCCTCACCCTCCGACTCTCCCAAGCTCCTAGTTTATTGCAAGAAAGATCAGGTCTGCACAAATGTGGCCTCTCACTTGTAAAAACAAGGCAGTGTTGTGTTACAGATTAGTTTATAAATCCCCAGTGGCTTCACAGTTCAGTGCCTACAGCTGCTGCAGATGGGCCTGGGTTTTTGTCTTTGCGCGGTGCTGCAGCCGGCAGTTGAAGGGGAAAATGGAATGATCAGGTTATTAACATGGAGGCCTCGAGGAGGAGGCTGCACAATGAGAACAGCTGGTGTTGCTGTCTTGGCCGATGCAGCGGAGATAATCAAATCTTGCCTTTTTTTGGGTAAAGGCAGAAGACACAGTGGAGAGTTAGACAAACAACGGCTTAGGATATTACATGGGGCTTTTATGATGTGTGTCAGGGACTCGCGTTGGCTCACGAGTGATGGTACAGAACTGGTTGAGATTTGGGGTTTATTTTTCACCAAGCAAGTTGTGTTTATTGAGGCACCTTTTAGAGAAATTTTTACTTCTTTGCAAAGATGCGTGATGTGGGACAGTCCTTGTTTTTAAAATTAGCGATGTAGCTTGGAAATGATGGGTTAGAAAGCTGCTGGGTACAATATTTTGACATGAGTCAGGGAGCGATGTTGACAGCATCCTCTGTATTATTTTCATATCATCCATCATGATTTGCATCGCATTTTCTTTCTCCTGCAGTTGCAGGGGCAGGAACATCCGGATGCCGGAGTAGGGAGGCGGACCTGTGCAGGTGTGCGCTGCCCATGCTCCCTTCCTGCAGGTGTGGCTGCGGCGGGCAGGGTGGCCAGCGGGGCCACGAGCCAGGGTGCTCAGAGACAGACCAAGGGCACTGTTGCCATCCCCTGGCTGGGGCTGCTGTTTCTGTCTTGCATAGTTACTCCTTCCTGCAAGTGTTTCCCCCAGAGGAAGCCAGTGCTGTCTGCATGAAGACTTCCTTCTCCTCTAGGACCTGCCATCTCCTAATGTGCACCAGCTCATCCTCACTCCTCTTAGAATGGGATTCCAGCCAGTTGGGCGGATTCTAAGAAAGGTAGCTGGCCACCACAGATCACTTCTGGGGATAAGGGAACCGTAATCTCGCTCCAGGATCTAGAAAGCTCTTTATAAGAAACTCATTGAGAATGCACTGTGTGGGAAGGGCAATAAGGTAGCGAACCAGAGAGAGGACTCTGGGGCTTGGGCGTAACCTCCGGGCTGCTGTGCCCTCCCAGGCTAACCGTGCCCCTCTCTGCAGGGCTGGCTCTGCGAGCTGCTCCGCTGGAAGGAGAACCCAAGCCCGGAGAACCGCACGCTGTGGGAGAACCTCTGCACCATCCGCCGCTTCCTGAACCTCCCGCAGCATGAGAGGGATGTGATCTACGAGGAGGAGTCGCGGCACCACCACAGCGAGCGCATGCAGCACGTGGTCCAGCTCCCGCCGGAGCCCGTGCAGGTCAGCACCCCTCCCTGGCCCTGCCCCCACAGGCCTGCGGCAGCTGCCAAGGGCCATGGCGGCTCTGCCCTGTGCCCGGGAGGGGACCTGTCATCACGGCAGGCAGCGGTGGGCAGTGTGTGCGTACGCTTGTGCACAGAGGAGAGCATCGAGGCTGTCGCGTGCCAGAGATGGCTCCTGTCCTGAGCGGTGGTGCCCGAGGCTGTGAAGATGGTGCTCCGCTCGGGGAGAATTAAATCTCCCATCGGTTTGCTCTGTAAAGAAAATGGAAGTCGTTTTTGATCCCACATTCTTCAAGGAGCATTTGATTAGGGTGAGGAATGAAATAGCTACCAGACCCAAGGCATACCTTTGAACTCAGCCAAACCTTTGGAAGAAATTGTGAGATTCTTAGAATTTTAAGATGAGTTGATGCAGTCTTTGGTTTCCTTCTTTAGAAAATCTGCCTTTGCTTGGGTAGCATGTTTTTTGGCTTAGTTTTTGCTGTCACTGAAACAGTTTTTCTTCCTGAAAGTACTGAGTTTGCAGACCCTTTCTGGGACCTAAAATCTGGCTTTCAGGAAGAAGCATTAGCTGGTATTCCCGTGGTGGGACGTCCAGAGCTTGGCCCGGGAGGTGGTCTGGTCCTGGTGATCAGATGCCACCAAGCGGATTCGGTAGACCTCTGCGAGCCTCCGTGCAGAGGACGGAAGTGGAAGCAGGAGTGCGTGCATGCGTGCATGCATGCAGAAGAATGGAAGAGGAGATGAGGAAGTAGGGCTTTGCTGGAGGCACTAAGAGAGCAGCAGTGGGGTGGCTGCAGTGCACTCACAGGGGCTGCTCCCCTCCACCCACCTCCCCTGCCCAGGGGCCAGGACCACCAGGGCCGCTCTTCCTAAGACCTCTTTCCTGTTGCACTCCAAGGCCTCTGCAACATCTTAGCCCTGTAGACTTTGAGTCCGACTTTGAGATTTTAACTTCTTAAAATTAAAGAGAGGCCTAATATAGATTTACTAAAAATTTATTTTAGAAATTAAGTTTATTTGAAAAATTCAAGGGAGGCTCCCATTAGCGGTCAGTGTGATTTCATAAGTTACAGTAGTCTAGGGTATCAGATTAACAGAACAAATAACTTCAGACAAGATTATGCAAACTGTAAATCCTGCTGTCCCAGAGATTTGCCATTATCTCCCTTTGTTCCATCTGATTGTAAAGTGGTTCAGATTTCTGCCTTGAAGCCACACAAGGCCATGACTCCTCCAGGCCACCTCTGGCTTTGCCAGGCTGCTTCTGCGGGCCCCAATCTACTCTAGTCCAGGCTTGAAAAACTGATCTAGTCTAGACATTCTTAACAGGCCCATCTCCGTTCTATAGCAACAGAGAGTTTGGAGCCTTAGAGAACCTTGAGATAAAGATAGGAAAACCTGCTCTGTTACGACGGAGGACCCCATGTTCAGGCTCTGGTTCCCCTACCCGCCCGGCTCCGTTCTTGGTCCTGAACGGGTTGGCTGTGTGGGCCCCGGGTAGCCAGAAGGATATTCAGCTTCGTATCTGACTTGCAGTCCTGCAGCTTGAGCGAAGTAAATCCCGGACACAGACAGGCCATTGACTAGTGAGTTTTATTATCTTTTATGTCAGTATTTTCAGGAGTAGAGGAGACAATAGCTAATGGCTAAGTGAGAATCGATGATTTTCCTTTTCGGTTTTTAGCACTTAATGAAAGACTCACATTAGCTTCTGTTATCACCAGAGAAATCCACAGGTTTGTGAACGTGTGTTCCTGTCAGTTGGATTGCAGCTGAAGAGCTCACAAACCAGGCCATTTCCTCTACACTCCGCCGTTGACCTTCGTCCCATCTCTCCCCGACTGTTCACCCCCACTTTTCTTTACCTTGTGCCTGTCTCTGGGTGACAGCACTCTGCTGAATTTATGTTTGTCAGCAAAACAGAGCTGTGGATTAGTAATTATTTATTACAGTCATAATAGGAAAAATGAAGAACAATACCTAGAAGCAGCCAGCAGAACTTGTAAGCCTGGAACACACAGCTGGCAGAGGCTCTGGGGCTCTGGAGGATGGCGTCAGAACCACCCAGCCCCAAGCAGCCTCTGTGAGGTCCATGGCTGAGCCTCTGGGTCCACTTGTGGCCTTGTGTCGCCTAGAATTGTAGATATTTTGGCTTCCCTGATGTAGGAATTTCTAAATTTCTATGTAGGGAATATTAGTTTGGCAATGTTGTCCTGTCTAATTAGGTAGAACATGGGTGAGAATGAGTAAAATTGGTGGTGAGGAGCTTCTCGTGGATGTGGACCATGGAAAGAGCCACGCCTTCCTGGCCCGCTGGTGGAGGGGCACCGTCTGTGCCACAGGAGAGAGTGGTTTTCATGCTGATTGTTTGCAAATGGAGTTTGCAAATGCAGCCTGTATTGCCTGCAGATGTGTTTCTTTTAGCTCCTAAAGTTAAAAAACAATTTAAGCCCATATTTAGGAATTAGATTTCACATAAACTTCAGAAAATCTGAAGACCTGACCCACCAGGCTTGCTCTGCTCCTCGTGGCTGGAGCCGCAGCCTTTCCACAGCCCCCACTGCCTGCACCCCGCCGCACACAGCCCCTCTGCTTGCTCTGTTTGGGCTTCGCCCCTGCCCCACCGCCTTAGCGCTGCATGGCCATGACCCTAGTGGCTCCATTTCCACATGCGAAGCCACCACGCCAGGCCATGGATGCCTTTGCCCCGTGGTTCTGCTTCCCCTGACGGTAGACCTCACACACCACCTGCTCTCGTAACTGACACAGCGCACCTGCTCACACTTCCCCTGAATGCATGTCTGATGGAAATGCAGCTCGGGCGTGACGCCAGCTCAAGGCCGAGACCCCTCTGGGCTTGGGGCACTGAGGAGTCCTGCGAGTCCAGGACCTGGCCGTCCTGGAAGAGTGGACAGCTCCTCCCCGGGAACCGGGCCTCCCCATTGGTTGCGGCGTCCTTGCAGTCTCGAGCCACCTCCTGCTCTAGGTTCCGCTGGGACCCTGGGTCTCCTCAGTGCCCTTGGCAAGCTTGCTGGGTGGCAGCGGCTTCCCAGGTGACCAGCACACTCTGCAGACTAAACCCACTCACCTGCAGGTCCACAGTGAGGACCCTGTGGCCCCGGGCAGTGATGCTGGTTCTCGGGGAGCCTGAAGTCCTGCATGGACAAGTGCCTGTGGGTCTCCAAAGGGCCGTGTGGCACATAGAGAGACATCAAGTCCACCTGTGGAGGAAAAGAAGGGAGGTGCTTAGGAAGAAATGCCTAGAAGCCCCTCTGCGTCATGCTCCCAGTGCAGGTTGAGGTGGCACCAAGACACAGAGGTGTGAACTGGGAGGCAAGCCAGGGGCACCAGAGCATCCGTGGGAAAGGTGAAGCCGGCTCTCCTTTCACTGCGAGGCGGGCAGAACCCTCCCATGTGGCCGTGGGAGTCCCGCCTTGTGGTGACGAGGACAGAGGCCGAGTCGTGACTGGACGCCCTCAGCTAACCAGCAGCACTGTTCAGTCCGTGCTTGTTACCACAGCTCCCGCTACCGTGGAAAAGCCAAGAGCCCTTGAGTCTGGCCGAAGCTGGGTCAGAGCTGAGTGAGGACACGGTGTCTGCACCCACTGTTTCCTCTGAACGAGCAGACAGGACAGGACGCCCTGTGCTGGGACAGGGCAGGTCCCCGAGGCGCCGTGTCTGAGCTGGCCCTCATGGCTTTACCGTGTCCTGCCCGGGGCTCCCGTGCTGCTCCCAGGCGCCGTGAGGTTTCCTGACAGGAGTGTGCTCCGCAGTTGCCTGCTGTTCGCCTGTGGAAGGTGAGACCTGGCATGTTCGGGGGCCTTTGCCCTCGAGGTCTCTGCTCGGGTGGCTGTGGGCTGGGGTGCTTATGTCCCCCAGGGGTCACTTGGAAGTTTCTGGAAACTGTTCTGGCCATTAGAACTCAAGGATGCTAACTGTGTCTACTTCATGGAGCCACGTGCCCACAGTGCACAGGAGGAGCCCACAAACCAGGCTGCACCTGGCCTTGGCGCACTGGAGCCCTGGTGCAGACGCTGTCTGCCACCTCACAGGGTCAGGTGGAAAACAGGAACAACTCAAGTGGCCTGAGCCGTCCCCCGAGTCTGAGGGCAGAACAGCGGTGGCTCCTCCTCCTCCTCCCGCCCCCCCCCACCTCCTGCCTCTCCTTGCCTGGCAGCAAGTAGCCTTTCTGAGAGCTAGGCTCCCCACGTGTGAAATTTCTGCACTTCATCAGAGAGTGGTTGGTTTTTCTGCTCTCACAGATGAGACACTGGAGCTTAAAACAGTTAAGAAACTTGCTCAGCATGAGAACCTGCACTCACATCTGCCCACCTTTGGAGCCTGGCTTTTATTGTGTGCTGGAAAGAACTTTCGCACTGCAGCAGCCAGCATTCCTTGGACACTCCCTGTTGGCTGCCTCAGTTTATCATTTCCTTTTAAATCTTTCTGCTGCATAGGGGTAGTTTTGTGAGCTTTCTTTTCTATGGAACTTTTAAGGCGTTGACGTCTCAGCTGATGTGACTGAGCTGCTGCTTCTCTTCAAGCTGAGTGGCGGAGCCACTCCCACTCCCACCTGGAGTATGCAGACACTATTGTGACTTGTGAGTTTGCTTCCAAGAGAATAGCTTATAGGACTATGAGAAGCAGCTGCTTAGTCAGTGGATTAAGGATGTTTGCAGGTCCTCTAGCCAGGTCCCCCACTTCTGCCTGGACTCTGCTCAGCCTGCAGTTTGAACATAGCCCCTGAGATTGACTCTCCATTCAGTCCAAGCAGACCTGCACGCAGCCCTGGCCACTGCTAGTGAAAGGCTGAAGCAGTGGGCGAGAAGAAGTGGGTCCTTCCCTGGGAAAACTTTGGAAGCCCCTGGAGGGGCCACAGTAGCTGTTTGCTGAAACTACTGTAGCCCTCATGCATTCATTCACCTTCAAGTGCATCCTTGATTTCTGTGTTACCAGCTAGTTTCCCAAATGTCTAAATTTTTGAATGTGTCTCTC